TTTATTATACGATACGTACTTTACGACGTATTAAAGGGAACTATAAGATATAAAAGTAGTTAAGTTTTTAATAATAAGGAAACCTTAGTTTTAAATATATTTAAGAGAGTACCCCTATACGAAAGTCAATTAGAATTTAAAATCCGTAAACGTACGATTTAGTACGATTAAAAATATATCGTTTATAAGGTCGGTTAAGATTAAAAACCCTATTGGACGAGTTATTTACCATATCTTAAATACTTCAACGCCTTTCCTATTCTCATTATAAAATACAGACCGTTTAAGGGCGTATTTTAATAATATAGATAATATTATCGTACGACGAGACGGTACGATAATCCTAATCCTAAGGAAATAAGGATATCTATTCTTCAACCTTAGTCATATAGAAATAAAAGTATTTTTTATAAAGGGTTAGCTTTAAAGATTATATCGACGTTTTAAATACCCTCGTATAGATCGACTATACCGACTCTTAAAAGATATTAAGTATAATAATATAAACGAATTAATCTTCTAAAAAATTTAAACTTTTTATTATTATTACTAATTATACGACCTAGCATTAAAAAGATTTAAATTTTCTTTAAAAGATAACTGTTATTTTAATTACGAAATTATTATAAATATCGTATAATTAAAAGATAAGAATATCCTATATATTATCGATATTAAAACTAACTTCCAAAAAGCAATATTTCTAAAATTATTTTCTATACAAGATATTTAAAATATACTATATAAATACTTAATCTATACGTATATAAGACCACCAGACTATATCTCGCACGACCTTAAGATAAATTTTACATTAATAAAGTTTAAAACATAAGCAAAAATCATAAGCATATCATATAAAAAGATACTAATTAAAGCATATTAAATAATAGGAAAAATAAAAAGGGTATATATACCCTTACGACGAGTATATAAAATCCTATTTAAAGAACTTAGTTATAATATAGATAAAAAAACGATTTTTTAAATAGTAATTAAGGCTTTAAACGACATTACTAGACTTAATAAAATTATACTAACCCTACTAATCTTTAAAACATACCTAAGGATTAATTTCGACTTACTACCCTCACTAAACATCGTATAACAAGCAAAAATAATCTAAAAAGCTATAAAAATACTTAAAATAATCAAAACAAATATTAAAATTAATCGTACGATTAATACCCAAAATAAACTTAATATTTAAAAAATCCTTTCGCTACCTTTTCAAAACGACGTCCTTATTTAAAAAAAAAACTAAAAGTAAATAAGACTTTATAAAATTATAAATATTAACCATACGATAATTACGGTAGATATAATTAATAACCCTACCTAGTTTCGTATAATATATATTAAGCCATACCACTAAAAAAAGGCTATATATAAAGACTAGGACCTAAACCAAAAAGAAATCTAACCACCATAACTATTAACTTAACTAAGGCTAAAAAGAAGGCCGAAGAAGAAAATAATACGATAAAGCCCCGTACGATAATTAATACGACTCTACCTAATTTAAAAAGAAAAAAATAATTACGACTTAGCTATTAAATTACAATAAAATAATATTATTACGACTCTTAAAAGACCGTATAAAGAATTTAACGCTATTAAAATTAACGCCCTTATTACTTAAAAAGTTTTTATTTTTATACGATACGACTAAAAACAATATAGATCTCTCCATATCTATAAAACTAAAATAATATAAAAGATTAAAAATAAATCTATAAAACTAATTAAAAAATCGAAACTAATTATTTAAAGGTATAGGGATAAAAAGAAAGAAAATATCCTCACGTAAATACTTATCGTTTAAAAAATAAACTAAAAATTAATTTTAACTTTTAGTCCTACCCTTATATAAAACTTTAAAACGTAAAACGAATTATAAAATATTACTTAAACCTATACGTAATCATATAATAAGCTTAATAAGACCATCGTCGCCTAACTCCCTAAGGAACTCTAAAATAAATACCCTAAAAAAACGCTATTATATATTTTTAAACCCCTATACGGATTAATAAAGTCAAAGCTATATTAATATAAAACTTACTACGCTTATTATATCGATAATCTCAACATAATATAATTATCGTACGACTTATATTTACTTTATATAACAAAAAACCTAAAAGATTTTAAGTTTATAATAATATAAACTAATAATACCTTTAGCTTTATTACCGTACGATTCTTAAAAAAAAAGGAGGAATAGCTTAAACTTTATAACCTTTATACGAAGCCTAAAATAATTCTAGCTTAAGACTAATCGATCGAATTTAATAAAAGCCGTATTTTAATTTTAAATAAAGATATTTTATTTAACTAAAAAGGATAAATTAAACAGCTTCGTACGATTAACAAAACAGCACCCAATACTTCTTAATAATACGTTATATAGCGAATAAAAAGGGTATATATATCTTCTATATACTAGCCCGAAGCTATATACGACCTCTTAATAACGGCCTAATTTAAAGAACTAACGCTAGAAAATATAAACGATTTAAACGTACGATTATAATAGCAAATTAATAACCTAAACCGAGGGTTAAAATATATACCACTAAATATATCTCGTACGAATATCTATATCTTTACCAATAGATTATTTACTAATAACTCTAACCTCTCTTCTTAATTTAAATTTCTAATTATCCTTAATAAGGAAACTTCTCGTATAACGATAGAGTTTAAAATCAAAAAGAACATCATTTATTAAAACTCTATAAAATATAAACGTATCATACAAAGCGTTTTAACAAATAAACTTTATAAAATAGTAGCTAGGTTCGATAATACTATTACTATTCGTACGACATTAAACAATATCCTAAATACCCTTATATATCCTAAGATTCCCTTTATTATCTACTCTAACTCTCGATCGCTATACAAATACCTAATTAAACTAAGCACTACAAACAAAAAAAGACTTATAATTAATATAATATTATTAAAGGAATCGTACAAAAAAAAAAATCTTAAAAATAAGATAGATTAATAAGAAAAATAATCCGTTAAACGCTTTTATAAAGAAGTCTCTAAATACAGCACTTAAACGACTTATTTTAATTAACTACTTAAAAATCAGAATTAAAATATACGTAAATAGGTTAAAAAAAAAAGAAAAATACACTACTAATCGTACGATATAACTAATATATATAGAAATTATTTTTATTTTAATTAAAATTATTTTATTATTTATATCGTATACTTAAATATATATTTATTTTATCGATCTTTTTATATTATTTCCTTATCGTACGAACTAAACTAAAAACCCTAAATCCTTTATTTTAATATAATAAAATACTCTTTAATAACTCTAGCACCCTTAATCATAAAACGACCCTTAATCGTATTACGAAGACGATTACTATTAAACCGACCTTTACTAAACCGACTTCTACTAGACCGACCTCTACTAAAACTACCTCCACTAAGACCGCCACCTCTATTATTATTATTATTCTTATACGAACCATAATTAATATACTCATAACGAGCACTATAAGATTACTAAACGCATTCGATATAAGCTCCGTTTTAGTAATTATAAACTCGTACGTACTTATAAAACCGAATATTAAATTATTAATATTTTTAAATATAACCTCGTACGATAAAGCCACAGGACTAAACTAAAATAGCTTAGAAATAACCCTTATAATAAATAATATAAATAAATAAAAAATAAAAATCCTCGTTAATAGGAAAACGTATTTAAATATCGCGCGAGGGTATCTAAGCAACTTAGCGCTTTTAATCTTAAAAAAATATTAATACGAATTAAAGAATAATAAAAAAAAGACTATATAAATATTAATATAAAAAGAAATTATAAAATTACGATTCGGACCAGACCCGGTAAGTAAAATAACGTAACGAATACTTTAAAGATCCGTACGAATTTTAATAGCTCCTATCGGGGTAATAAACCGAATATTTTAATTACCAAGAACGAGCTAGTTAGTAGGAATAAAAGATATATTAATTCGTATGAAATTAATATAGAAAATTATTATTAATATATAATAAAAAAAGCCTTATTATTTAAGTTATTTATAGAATTAATATAAAAGCAAGAAAACAAAAGGCTAAAAAAGGGGCAGAGGCTGCTCTTATATACCCTCTTATACGAATACTTAAATAAATATTCATAGAGGCAATAAATCAATATAAAAAGTCCGTACGAGTGATTTACTATAACTACTTCGGATCAAATAAATCAATACGATAATCGTACATATAATTTATTAATAAGTTCAATTTTAATATCGACTCATCCGTTAATTAATAAATAACTATTTTATTTTTATCTAATTATATAACGGATTATTATTAAATTTATTTAAGTTAAGGGCGCAAGAATTTAATTTATTATTTTAAAAAATAAATAACTATCGTCGTACGATAACTTACTTATTCAATTTATTAACTAACTTTATAAAACGATAATTAATTTAACCTAATTATTAACCCAGGGGATAGCATACGTTTATTAATAAAAAAAAAAAGTTTCTAATATTAAAATAATAATAATTAAGATTAAACGTACGGTATATTAAAAATAACTAAACCTCTATTCAGTCACGTAAATATTCCGACACATAACTAGCTCTAGTCGCGTATAAGGACACATTCCAAAACACTTTCCCTATTATACGAACTTAAGAAGAGCATCACAAAATAGAATCACTTTTTTAATCACTAACTTATCACCGGGATCTATGTACACATCCCCCCCAGTCCGTCTAACAATAATATTAAAAGCTACTTTCTTAACGGTCTTAGTTACCTATTTATATTGGCTTATCGACGTTATATAAAATATAATTAGTAATTAAAACCTACGCTTTCGCTAAGCCTATATAAAAAACGAGGTGTTTACCGGCCGGGATTATCTCGGCCCTCGCTTAGAATACTTTAATAAACTTCGGATTATAATTTTATTAAAGTATTTTAAATTAATTATTAAGTAATACCGGTTTATATATAAAGTAATACCCTCTAAGAAAAGGCCGTTTCTACCTTTTATTAAAGAGTATAATAATAATTATTTTATATTAATTAAACTAAGTATCCTATGCTATTATAAGATTTTTTTAAAGATAATAAAATTATCGATTTTTAATAAATAAAAGGTTTATTTATAGTAACGGCTTTAAATAACGTCTTTTTTTAATCCCTATTATCGGATTTTAAATTTGAAAATTATAACGTCTTTTTATAATAAATTAAAAAACGTAATATAATAAGTTCTTATAAAGCTTAAATTATTTTAATAAGGCTAATAATCTTAATATTATACTACCGTAATATAAAATAACTAAGGCTCGACCGGCCGTAAATAAAGCCGCCTACCGGGAAGCTATAATAAATTATCGTTAACTAAGAGTTTATAAAAGGCCGGCTATTTAATCTTTAATTAGGCCTTAGATTAATCTTAATAATAAACAAAAAGTTAGTTTAATATATTTAATAAAAAAAAGATAATAAGGGGTCGTATAAATAAAAGGCCGTTATAATTTAATATTCGGAGGCGGTAGAGTAAATAAAAAATAATATTAAATAACGGTAAATAAAAGAATTTACGACTAAATTATTTTATTTATTACTTAAGTAATTTATTATAAGTTAACGCTATAATTAAAATAAAAGTAATTATTTATTTATTTTTTCGTTATTTTTAAGGATTTTATAAATACTCTACGAGGAATAAGCTAGGGTATATGCTATTTAGTAAAAGTATTAAAGTTATTAAATTATTAAAATATTATTATAAACACTTTTACCGCCTTTGCGGGAATATATTATAATTTTAAGTTAATTAGGATAGTAGATGTGTATGCTGCTGTAAGGTGTATACCTCTGTATTAATTCTGTATGCCTTTATATTAATTCCTTATAAAAAATTATTTATAATAATAAACTTAGTTTTTTTTTTAATTTTTTTAAAAATAAAAAAGGATTTAAAACCTTCGGTTTTATAAATAATAAAATAAATATAAATAAAAACTTAATATTATTAATTAAAAACTTATAAATGTTACGGCCAGCTAGTCGTAGTGAGGTTTATGTTAACAAAAGTTAAGGCTACGATACTTATAAATAATAGTCGTTATAAAAATAGCTTTAATAAAGCTATTATTTATAAGTCGTAAGATAAGTAAGGCTTCGGTAATTAATCGTAGTTTTATTAAATAAATTTTTAATAAAAATAACTAAAAGCGATCGTTAAATTTAATATAAAAATTAATTATTAAAAAAGCTATAGAAGTCTATCTTTAAGCCTAGCTTGGGCTATTTTATATATAAATCTTAATTATAAATATATTTTTTATAATAGCTTATTTATTATTATCCAACCGTTTATTAAACGGTCGTCCGTTTTATATTTTTATAATCGCCCGTTTTATTTATTTATAAACGTCCGTTTTTTATTTTATTATACGATCGTAGTTATATAACTTATTTATAATTTTTTTATTTTAAAAGAGGCCGTTTAAATTCTTATTATTATATATATAATATAATAGCCGCTGTAGGTCCTATAGGGCAAGGCCTTGGTCTAGTAATACGTATTAAGTCGTAATATTAGCTCTTTTTTTTAAAAATTTAGTCCTTAAGCCTATAAATAAGTTATTCGTTTTTAAATTAAGGAATCGTTAAATGTTTTTATTAAAATATACTAACGCTATATTAAATTAAATTAAAAAATTAAAATCGTAAATAGTTACGTTTCGTCGCTGTTTATTATATATTATTTATTTTTTTAATAAAAATATAAAAATAATACCGTATTTGAATTATTATTTTTAAAATATTCGTTATTTAGTTTTCTTTAATTTTAATATTTATAAAATATACTATCGTCTAAATATTTTATATAATATTTTTATTAATACTATTTATATTTATAAGTTTTTTAAGGATTATCTTTTATAAGTTTTAATTAATAAGTATAGTAAATTATTTAATAATAAAATCCGATTGTTTTAATTATAAAAAATAAATAAAAAAGTCGCGGTTTTAAAGAGAGTTATAAAGCTATAAAGAAAAGCTAAGGCTTATTAAAAGGCTTAAGTTAAATTAAATAAGTCGTTATTTAAATTAAAACGCTTTCGTTTTTAAAAACGAATAGTATTTAAAAAGAGTCGTATTATATTAAAAGAATTTCTTAAGGATACCGAGAGTATTTTTTTAATAGCTTAGGAGGCGTAAGTTAATAATATTTTTAACGTTATTAATTAAGATATTATAATAACTAGGAGTTTTAAATTTAAATTTAATTTTAATACTTTTTAAAAAGCTGTTAAGAGTTTTAAAGGTTTATAATGAGTTCCTATATATTATCCTTATATTTATAATCTTTTTATTTAATAAGGTACTTTTTACGTCCTTCTTTAGTTCGGTAATCGATAACTCGTTCGATTTTATATTTTAGTTTATTAAATTCGATAATAATACGATCCTTAGTATATAAGCTTTTAAGTATTAATTTTAAAAATAAGATATAAAAAACCGGGTAGTATCGTATCGTATTTAAGAGTTTTAATTTAAAATTAATTAGTAAAACTTTTTTAATAATTTCGAAAGGTCTAAGTTTTTTATAATTTAATTTGTTATTTAGTCGCTTCGTTTTAATATTGCAGCGAAAGAGATATATATTATCTCCTTTTTTTAAAATTAGTTTATTAATCCTTGATCTATCGGCGTATTTTTTTATACGCTACTATATAAATTTAAAATTTAAAAAGGCTTTTTTTTAGATCTTTTTAAGTTTATTTACGTTTACTACGGCTTTTATAGCCTATAGTCCTTTATATGTTTTTTTATATATAGTTAGTTAAAATCCGTAGTTAAAATAAAAAGGGGATTTTTTTATACTTTTGTTAACTACGCTATTATATACAAACTAGGCTATTAATAATAGTACTACCTAATTATCTTAGTCGTAATTTATATAATAGCGGAGGTATATCTTAAGAATTTAGTTAATTTTTTCCGTTTATTTATCGGTTTATAAATAAAAAAAGGTTAATAATTTATAATTTATACCGAGTTATAAAATTAAAGATCCCTAAAACTTAACGGTAAATAGCTTATTTTTATCGGAAATTATTTCCTTAAGTAAACCGTAGTTAATAATAACTATTTTAAAGAAAGTATATGCTAATTCCTTAGTATTATTTGCTTTTTTATATAATATAAAATAAATAAACTTAGTAAGTCGGTTAATAATAACTAAGATATTGTCGTATTATATATTCGTAAATAGTTCTTTAAATTTTAATAATTTAATAATAAAGTCTTAAGAAATTAAATATTATACTTTTAATAGTATCGGTAGAGGTTATAGCTCTTTATAAGGCTTATAAAGGCTATTTTTGCTTTTTTTATAAATATTATAGTTTTTAATAGCCTTAGCGATTTCTATTTTTATAGCGGTTTTATTATAATATTAACGAATCCGTTTTTATATTTTTATAATATTTTAATAACCGTATACTTAAGTATTATAAACTTTTATAATAAACTTAAAAATTATTTTTTTAAATAGGCTAATATTAATTTTTTTAATTATTATAAAGAGTTTTATAATAAATATAAAATTATCGTTATTATCGTATTTAAGGATTATTTATGTTTCCTTAGGGACTGTGACTTCGTAGTTAAGTCGTTTATTAAAAGCGTTTATTTTACCGTTTTCTAAACTTTTTTAATAAATAATTTAAAAATTAAATTTTAATAAGAATTCGTTTTATCTAATTTATTATTTATTTAGATTCTTATTTATTATAAAGTTTATAAGGTTTTTATAATTTATATAAATAATAACTTTGTATTTAATTCCTAAAAGCTATAGTCTTTATTTTTTAAAAATTTTAATTATAATTATTAATTTTTTATTGTAAATTTATTAATTTAATTCTATTCTATAGAATATTTTAAAATAAAATATATAAAAGTAAAGTATTTTTTATTAGTTTTGTTATTTTAAGATAGTTTTTATAGCGAAGTCCGAGGCGTTAATCTCGACTTTAAACGGTTTTTTTAAGTCTGGAATTATAATTATTAGTTCCGAAGTAATTAAATCCTTAATTTTATTAAAAGCTTCTTTATATTTTTTATTTTAAATAACGGTTATGTTTTTTTTTATTAAGTTATTAAAAGGTTTAATAATATTAGCGTAGTCTTTAAGGAATCGCCGGTAAAAATTAACGAATTTTAAAAATAATTATACGTTTTTAATATTAATAAGTATAGGCTAATCCTTAATTATTATTATTTTAAATACCTATATATAGATTTATCTTAACGTAATTATATAACTAAAAAAATCCACCTTTTATATATAAAATTCGCACTTATTGGGCTTAGTAAAGAGCTTTACGTTTTAAAGTTTTTAAAATACTATATAAACGTGTTTTTTATATATTTCGAAATTAAAAGAGAAAATAAAGATATTATTAAAATAAACGATTATAAAGATATCAATATACTCCCTAAGTATATATTTAACTATTATTTAAAATATAATAGGTACGTTAATAAGTCCGAAAAGTATAATTAAGTACTTATAAAGTCCTTTACGGGTTCGGAATACCGTTTTTTATTCGTTTTTTTTTTTAATTTTAATTTAATTAAATACTTTTTTAAAGTTTATTATAATAAACTATTAAACTCCGTATAATATTTCTTTAAGTTTTATAATAAAGGGTAATAAATAGTAATTCTTTTTAATAATTTTATTAAGTCTTTTATAATCGATTATAAATCTAAACTTTTTTTTATTTTTCTTAAATATAAAGAAAATTAATACTCCTATTAGAGAGAATAATAATTTAATATAACCTTTTTTAAGTTTATCGTTAATATACTCGTTAAGTTCGTCGTATTCAAGTTAATTTATAAAGTATAATAAATAAAACTTAGGTTATATTTTTTTTTAATTCGATTTTTATATTTTAGTTATTATGTTTTAATAGTTTTGTTTTTTTTTAGGGCGAATAGTTTTATATAAATCCGGTATTCCTTAGGTATAATTTAAAATAAATCCGATTTTTAATCGTCCGTACTAAATACGAATATTTTAATAAGTTCTATTATTTTAATAAAAGCGATATATTTAGTTTAT